GGTAAAGCTTTAAAATGGAAATATAGCATTACATAAAAACGGTATTACAGCTTTATTATTTGAAAGATCAAAACATAAATGCACTTACAATAAAGCATTTGAAAGGCTATTCTCATTACAATAACATGTCTTCATACTCTCCTTAAGACAGAGAACTTTCTTGTACATGCGTTACGTGTTGCATCGACATACGAACAGTATGTGGAAAAGACAACAGGCACAGCCCACAGAGAGGCGTCTCTCCTGGTACACGTGGTCAGCCTTCCTCGTTGCCATCATCATTCTGGTTTGCACATCTTGATTTCTGTCTCCAAGTCCAGGCCTCAGGACACCTTCCTGGCATTTCGCCGTACACATATAGTGAAGTTGGGCAGGACAGAGAATTCCATTCCTACAAAGGGAATCAGCACCTCGATTCCCTTGAACAGCCCCCTGCGGCTCAGGGCCGGCTGGCTGTGAGCTCTCCTGGAGGGGTCACCTCCCACCCCCCGCCTCTCCCGCACCTTTCTCAGCAGCAAGGGGACAGGCATCTGGACAGGACGGCCCAGCAGGAGCTCAGCGCGGAGGGCAGGGGAGGTCTCCAGGCCCTTGCAAACATGGACTGCAGCTGTTTGTGCTTCTGAGCAAACTCCCCCTGTTGACCCGAGTGTCCAGTAAAAGCTGCAGAGGGAACAAGGCCTGCTAATGACCCTTGTCACTCCGCTCCGGACCTCCCACCCAGCAAGAGCGCAAGACACGGTAAAGCCACATACTTTGATTATAAATATAAATAATTGGTATTAAGAGATTTTTGTCGTCGATGTTGTTGTAAAGTTGAATCCAAAACAAAATTTAAATTTACAAAGAAAAAAAAGAGTGCCACCTAGAGCTCTGTATGGAGGCTGAACAGCACCCATGGCAAGGGACGTGGGCCCAGGGCAGAGGTTAGCTCGGATCCTCAGGCATTGCCAAATGGGGGACGGGAGATAAAATGACCTGGGTCAAGGACCACTGGAGTAAGTGGTAAGTAGCCATCAAGTCTCCAGCTTGGCTATGGGCAGCAGGGACAGCGACTGTGAGGGCTCTGGCGAGCCAGGGATGTGTGCCCCTCTAAGCGGGCCGTCCCTATCCTGTTAGAAACCCAGGATGACACAGTCTGATTTTTTTTTTCTCATTAGCAACCATTTCCAAGTTAAAGTGCTTTGTGCAGTCTGAGCCCCAGGTCTGTGGGCTACACAGGGGTGGCCAGCAAACTATTTCTGTAAAGGGCCAGATGGTGATCATTTTAGGTTCTGTAGGAGAAACTCTCTGTCACAACCACTACTCAGTTCTGTCTGTGGGTAGCAGCCGCGGGTGACACATAAAGGATGGCGTGGCTGTGCTCCAATTAGGCTTCACCGGTAGACACTGAAATTTGAATTCTATGGAATTTTCACACCTCATTAAAACGTTACTCTTCTTTTCATTTCATTTTCTAGCCTTTCAAAATGTCAGGATCATTTCTGGCTCATGGGCCCACAGAAACAGGGCCCAGTCTGGGCCTGAGGGCTGGCTGGCTGAGTCCTGGGCTGAAGCGTGCCTGCAGCAGCAGCAGTGAGTGGGGCGCGGGCTCCGTGCCCGCCCGGGAGGCCGCACGGGCTTTCCCCGCACGAGGTAGGAGCGGCCTGGGGACGGCTGGGGCCCTTTTCAAGCCACGCCCCTCCCCACCCGGACCCGCCCCCCACCTGGTGCTTTTACTGTGTTTTACTGCAGCCACCGGAGAAAGAATGAAGGTATCATCTCTCTTTTTTAACCACAGACTGGCTTCTCTGCCATTCTTTAACATTTTTTTCCCTGATATTATTGTAAAAGAAAGGCTATTGATAGGGCACTAACGGAGCTGTTTGCATGGTTCCCAGAGCCCTAGAAAACTCTAACAGGAATTTTATCAGTTTTTAATGACCTTGCTAAAACACAAGTTTTCCTGTTTGTGTCCTCTCAACGTCTCTCTGACAGTTAACAGAGAAAACGCAGATGACCTTCTCCAGTCACAGAGGCAGCGCAGGGCACTGGGAGTGGGGACAGTTCATGACTCGATTCCAGGAGAGGAAAGTCACCACTGCCTTCTTTTAGGCCATGTCCTGTGATCTGCTCTGGAGAGCGAAGTGTGTGGCTTGCAGAATGCGCTTCTGGGCTTCCTGCCCCTCTTACTAGAGGAGATGCTGACTCCTATGAAACTATCTTGGACCGTCTAGAACAAAACAGAGGACCCTGATTTCCCTAGCCCTCAAAGGTAGCAAAAGTAAATTTGGAAATCATACAAGCGGGGCTGATGGGAAGGGGAGAAAGGAATAAAAAGAAAAGAAACAAGAAATAGGAAAAAAAAAAAAGGAAGTGTTAAAAAGATGAGAAGCTGCTGGGAGTCGTGGGAAAAAAGAAGCAGAAGACAGGAGGCAAGAAGGAAAGTGAGAAAAGGGAAGAAGAAATGAAAAGAGGAAGGGCCAGGGTGTGGTATTTGCAAACTATTCATTCAGGCTTTAATGAATAATTAAGGGGAGGAGAGAAGAGGGTAACATCTTCATCTCTGAAACCCACTCACAGAAGCCACCTGTGACCTTTTCTTCTCCCCAGCCATCAAATTCTTGGACTTCAGGTTCAAAAGCCTCACCCAGGTGTGAGACAAACAAGATTAGAGGGGCTCCTCCGCCCCCCCCCCCACCGTCCCTCAGCTGGAGGTGGCAGAGGGTCACAGGAGGGAGGGAGGAGTTTTGGGACACCAAGCTAGGACCCCCTGTGAGTTCACAAATCAGAAGCAGGCAGAAAGGGCCCCGTCTGGAACTCTGAGGGACTGGCGGCTCACAGAAGTGCCCACATCACAACAGTCGGGGGTGGGGGAGGTATCAGGGCGGAGAGAACCCACCACAGCCGGGACCCCATGTATCCCCTTCGTTTGGTCCCTTTCCACTCCCAGGACACAGGTTCCGCAGAGCCCTGCTCCAGGCCCCCCTTATTCCTTGATTTATCAGTAGTTGCTGTTCTGTAAACTAGGAGTGACGAATTTGGGGGGTGGGAGGGTGCTACAGACGCTGGAGATTTAACGAGGAGAGCTTTGGGAAAGCATCCCCCCTGCTCGTGCCTGTGATAAGGATGCAGCAATTGGCTGAGGACAGTGGCAGGTGGCGGGGAGGCGGGGAGGCACATCCCTGCCCAGCGCTGGGCAGCAGACTCCGTGCTGCTCTCCTGAACATCCATTGGCGTTCAGAGCCAGTCCCAGGGTGGATGGGGCACAAAATCCCCAGTGAGACCGAGTTACAAACCTGAGGCGACGCAAATCATTGCACTGGGCCATTGCCACTTCGAAAGGCCAGGGGCTTGGGCCAGAAATTAAGTTTAGTTCTAGAAAAGTAAAGTGATGGTTTTGCACACCTGAGTCGGTGGCTTGTGAAGTCTGTGCCTGCTACACAAGCACTGACTTCTCAAGCACTCAGGAAAATTACTGTCAGCCTTTCTCTCTGGCAAATGCCGGGCTCACTGTGCCCTGCTGCCCCCATCTCACCAGGCTCTCAGCGACCTCCCCTGATGGCCAGGTGAGTCTTAGCCACACGTCAGGAAGTCATGTGATGTCACTGTGCTCAGGGTAGGAGGCCAGTGCCAGCCATAAGTTCCCAGGTATCTGCCATTAGCACTTGAGCTAGAGGCTCCAGTCATGGTTGCAAGCCCTGGGCTTTGCCGCGCGAAGGCAGAGGAGTCCTGGTGTTGGAGCAGCACAGGTGCTAAGCATTCCATGTCCACAGGCCCTGCTCAGCTGCTTCTGGGAAGAGGCCTTTGAAGGGTGTGTTTAGTAAGCATTCCTGGGCTCTGAGCCAGTGTGAGGGGACAGAGTCCCTGTAAAAAGCTGCTGCAGTCTTTGGTATCTTTCTATTCCCAGGCTTGGGTGCAAGATAGAGGGGCAGCGAGGGCCTCCAGGAACTGTCTGCAGGGCTGGGCAGTGGTCTGGACAGTGGTGTGGACCTGCCGGCCCAGCGAGAGTCCGTTCCCCAGCGCGCTGCCAAGGCCCTCCCTCGTTCCTCCATCCCCAGCCATGCAGTGGACCAAGAGCAAGAGCCCTGGGCGGGGGTTTTGCTACAGACACTTGAGATTTAATGAGGGTAATGAGGCATTTCAGGCACACCATCAGGAGGGCCACACCACCTCCCACCCCTATGTTGAGAGAGAGACTTAATCTCTAAAGTGGTGTCAGCGCTACCTCAGAGGTGTAGCCTGGAGCCAGGGAGGTCAAGGTGGAGGGAGAGAGCCTTGCCTCCTGGCAGACCACCCAAGTGCCAACTAAGCAACTGTCCTTTGGCAACAGGGAAAGTCTCTCTTGGAGCTGCGAGGAGTGGTCCCAGCAAAGACTGTGCCCATGGCCCAATTCCTCAGGAAGGCCAGATATGACCGCCTCTGGTGTCCACTGCCCCTCCAAGTCAATCCGTCAGAGGCTTTAGCGAGAGCTTGTTATCTGAACAAAAGAAAATAAATTGCTTTTCCTCTGCAAAGTGCTCAGGCTGATCACCATCCTTTCTTTTTAAATCTTTTTTTTTTTGCGGTACGCGGGCCTCTCACTGCTGTGGCCTCTCCTGTTGTGGAGCATCGGCTCCGGAATGAAGAAGTAATTTTTTTGCGGAGCACAGGCTCCGGACGCGCAGGCTCAGCGGCCATGGCTCACGGACCCAGCTGCTCCGCGGCATGTGGGATCTTCCTGGACCGGGGCACGAACCCGTGTCCCCTGCATCGGCAGGCGGACTCTCAACAACTGTGCCACCAGGGAAGCCCTTAAATCTTTATTTTTAATTTATTTATTTATGTTGGGCTGCGTTGGGTCTTCATTGCTGTGCACGGGCGGAGAGCGGGGGCTACTCTTCATTGCAGTGCGCAGGCTTCTCATTGCGGTGGCTTCTCTTGTTACAGAGCACGGGCTCTAGGCATGTGGGCTTCAGTAGTTGTGGCATGTGGGCTCAGTAGTTGTGGTGCACAGACTTAGTTGCTCCACGGCATGTGGGATCCTCCCAGACCAGGGCTCGAACCCGTGTCCCCTGCATTGGCAGGCGGATTCTTAACCACTGCGCCACCAGGGAAGTCCACCATCCTTTCTTCTCAAGCAAGCTACACGTCTGGGCCAGCCAAGCTCAACGAGTCACTCGGGGGTGTGCGAAACTTTTTCTAACACAAGCGGGATGGGGAGACGCCAAGGAAGCTCTTGTAGCCAAGTCTTCTCTCTGTGAGTCATGCATACTGAGATGTAGGGGGATTCAAGCCGTGGCGGCATTTAGACTTCTCTTTGGGTTTGGTCTAGAAGTTTTTCAGACATGAGAAATTCTCTGGTTGTCACTGAATTTTTCAAGTATGGGTTTGGTGCTCCTTCCCCACAGAGATGGTCTGGCCCTAAGCCTTGGGTAGGAGGGAGAGGATGCTCTTTGGCTTCTGAGCAGATCCCCTCTGGCGTTCCAGGACATAGGTGTTGCGATTCTCTCGGTGGAATCTCGACTGAAACTGAGGGACAATAAGTCCCATATGGGGAGGTCATGTACTCATTCTTTTCCCCTCCCAAGATATTTTCCTGACCCTTTTCAGGTTCCTCTGTGGAAACCACTTCCAGAAAATTCTCAAAATTTACCACCAACCTGTCAATAAGGTCACTGGGGGCAGAACATGGTTTTAGAATCCCATCTTCTTCTGTGTTCACAGAGTCATCAAACTCCTTCAGATTTAGTTTATCCTGGAAAAGAGAAAGGGACACCCCAATGGTCATTTGGGGGCCACATATGATGTAGCCAAAAGCTATTAGGCTTGGGACACCCAAAGCCCCACCTCTGGACCAGCCCCCCTCTTAGAGGCCAGAAGTGGTGCCCTTCCATGGGAGGTTAGCAAGAGTGGTCCATTTCCTGAGAAGAATGCAGTGTATTCAAACAATTTCTTCTTCTAGAGAGCTCAAGGCTATTTTCCACATAATCATATGCTCATAAAATCCCAGTGAAGATGGAAACATCAAAATTAGAATTATCACAAAGACAAATAACTTGTCCAACATCACCAGAAAATCAAAGGTGGCCTCCTGGTGGGGGTGGTGTCCGACATCTTTGTATCCCCAGAGCCTAGCTCACTGCCTGGCGTATAGTGAGTGATTAATAAGTGACTGCTACAGAGGCCAGACCTACAGATGATTCAAAACACATTTTAGACATCAGACAAGACTGCCTATGAATTAGTTCACTCTCTTAATAATTTTTGGTAAGCAGGAAATGAAATAAGGTAACACATGAATGATAGAGAAGAAAATAGAAACAACCAAAATTTAATTAAATAAATAATAAAAATAATTTTCACGTCCGTGTTAAAAAAAAGACTTCTGAGTTGAAACAGGGGCTAATATTAAAAATTCCGTATCAAGGAATACAGTCTTTCAATAACAAGGATTTAAAGGTTATATTTGATTGGGCTTCTTTCTACTTAACCGAGAAATTAAACCTTAAAATTTCAGAACAGTTTTCAATTTAAAAATGTATGAAAATGGGAGGTTTCTATTATGGGTAACTCCCTAGAAAACCCCATTGCCAATGTCTCCAATCTGAGAAACACAATTTGATGCAGCCTGCCCCAGCCTCTGGACAGAAATGCACATTAGGGGCCCCTCGGGTCCCCAGGTGGTCTCTGGATTAACTTGCTCTTGGCTGCTTTTTAAATGGTCTCCAATCTTATAGCTGGGTTCTCCTGCTTTCTAATTAGACAGTCAGGTCCTTAAGGGTAGGGCCAGTGTCTCTTCCGTGGCACCCTTTATAGGACCAGTTTTATGCCCAGCGAACACTGGGTCCTATGAGCCTGGTAAAGCCCTTTCCTTTTGTCCAAAGAATGAGGTCAAAGTCATTCCAGGAAGGCTGATTCCACCTGTCCTGCCAGCCATTCCCTGGGACTTTTTAACCTCGAGTTCTCTTTATGTGAACCCTATGCAAACCTCAGTCCATCACCCTGTCCACCTCCCACAACCAGCCTGCTCAACAATCTCCTTAACAAAAACAGGAGTGTTTATCTTTAAATCATCTCCACGCCACGTGGCTATACTGCTTTCAGCAGGTTTGGGGACACTGGGCCAACATAGGTGCTTTAATTTGCTAATAAGAGATAAGATTTTAAAATAGGAAGTGAGTCCAAGAAGCATTTTACTTCTACTGCATGGCCAAGCCAAAAGAGCAGGGCTTCGATGCAGGGAATCATATGGCTCCCTATTGAATAAGGGCAAGCTCACAGCCTCCTGACAGAAACTGGGAAAGCAAAGTACTTTGGGGAGTGAAATTGCAAGTCAACTATGGGACGTGATGGGAGGAGACCTTTCCCCAGGCAAAGCTTTTCTTACTCTTCCCTGCTCTCCCACCCCTGCATCTCCACCCCCTGGTCCTGATGCCGAAAATCACACCATCACAGAGCCATTTCCTTGAGATTTATTCCCCAGGAAAGGTGACACGCTAAGCCTTACAAGACACCCACACTTCAGAGCAGTGATTCTCAAAGTGTGGTCCCAACCAGCAGCATCAGTACCACCTGGGAGCTTGTCGGACGTGCAAAATGTACGAGAACGTGTGCTGATGACTCGCTTACAACCCAAAGCTGACTCAGGTTGACATTAGCTTGGCCATAACTAAGCACAGCTGCTTGGCAGAGAAGGCCCACGACTGTGTAACTCTGGAGAGAGCGGTCTAATGGGGAGAGAGCCCTTGACCTTCAGGGTAGAATGAGGCTCTCTGGAGAGAGAAAGCACAAGACCCTGAAGACAAGCTTCCTTCCCTACAGTAGCCAGAGCAGGCAGGACAAATGGCCCTCAGCGAGCCCTCCGACACTGCACCACAAGCAAGGACCCACCTGTGCTGGGCATACGCTGGCCAGTGCTCTAACTCCATGGGCACCCTGCTCCCTGCTCTGCCTGGGAGAGAGGCTGGTGGCCTTGAGGGCCCTTGCTGCTGCCACGGGTGCCCTCTAGACACACAGAGAGAGGATCTTCTCCTCAACTCTAGTCTCAGATGCCGAACACAGCAGACAAGGCCTGTGGGGCAGCTGGCACTTCCCTGGCTTCAAAAAGCCCTAGGCCTGGTGCACAGCGCTGTCAGGGGTACAAGTCCTCCTGTTTGGTTAGAATTCTGATGTGCCACAGTGTAAGGCATACAATAAATTCAATACATATGTATCAACTCAATAAATGAATGGACACCCCTTAATGGCAGTGTGCCCTCTTCCACCCATGGTGTCTTCCACCCCTTTCCACCCCCGATTTTGAGGGCCCACACTGTTGTCTACAAACTCACTTGGGTTTTTTGAGATCATATGCCACCGTCAGGATGATGAGAATAAGAAGGCCACCTCCAACCAGAGAAGTTATAATGAAAATCTCAAAGACACCTTTGAGAAAAGAACAAAAGTCAGTAGCAGGTTGAGCCCCTTACTTTCTTGACAAAAATCAAAGATTAATGTTTTCTTCCAGTAGCTTCAGCAACATATACCCTAAACGTTTTCTTTCAATTTAATTCAAATTCATTCAGTTTCTCTTCTCCCTGAATAATACTGACAGAAATTGTGTTCCCCACGTTCATCCTCCAACTTCATTCATCTAGTAAACATTTTCTGAGCACTTACAATTTGCCAAACACTCTTCTGGGTAATAAAATAAATAGCAAGAAGCAAGAAACACAAGATCCCTACTCTCGTGGAGCTTACCTTCTGGCTCAAGAATTCAGACAATAAATAACCTAAGATTATTTCAGATAAAATGGGGTGATAGAGAGTAGGGTAAAGTGGGTAGGGGGTTAGCACCTTTAGATAGGGTGGCAAAGGAAGACTCCTTGGAGAAGTGAAATCTGAGCTAATGTGAATAATGAGAAGGAACTGCCCCCATTCATGCTGGGGAAAGCATTCCAGGCAGAAGGAAAAGCATAAATGGGAACATAAACGGGAAGTGGTGGGAGGTGAGGTCAGGAAGGGACAGATTAGGAAGGGTCCTGAAAGCAATGGGAAGGAGTTTGGATTGAATTCAAAATACAACAGAAGCCACTGGTGGGTTTTAGGCAGGGGGTCTAGGATTTTAAACTCTGGCTGCTGTGTAGAAAACAGATGGTAGAGGATCAAAGACAGAAGCAGGGAGATCTATAAGAACCAAGAGTAACAGACCCATCACGAGTAATGAAATTGAAACTGTGATTAAAAATCTTCCAACAGGGGCCTCCCTGGTGGCGCAGTGGTTGAGAGTCCGCCTGCCGATGCAGGGGACATGGGTTCGTGCCCCGGTCCGGGAAGATCCCACATGTCGCAGAGCAGCTGGGCCCATGAGCCATGGCCGCTGAGCCTGTGCGTCTGGAGCCTGTGCTCCGCAACAGGAGAGGCCACAGCAGTGAGAGGCCCGCATACCGCCAAAAAAAAAAAAAAAAAAAAAAACTTCCAACAAACAAAAGTCCAGGACCAGATGGCTTCACAGGTGAAATCTATCAAACATTTAGAGACGAGCTAACACTTATTCTTCTCAAACTCTTCCAAAAAACTGCAGAGGGAGGAACACTCCCAAAATCATTCTGCGAGGCCACCACCACCCTGATACCAAAACCAGACAAAGATGTCACAAAGAAAGAAAACTATAGGCCAATATCACCGATGAATATAGATGCAAAAATCCTCAACAAAATACTAGCAAACAGAATCCAATAGCACATTAAAAGGATCATACACCATGATCAAGTGGGGTTTATCCCAGGAATGCAAGGATTCTTCAATATATGCAAATCAATCAATGTGATACACCATATTAACAGATTAAGGAATAAAACCCATATGATCACCTCAATAGATGCAGAAAAAGCTTTTGACAAAATTCAGCACCCATTTTTGATAAAAACTCTTCAGAAAATGGGATAGAGGGAACCTACCTCAACATAATAAAGGCCATATGTGACAAACCCACAGCAAACATCATTCTCAACGGTGAAAAACTGAAAGCATTTCCTCTAAGATCTGGAACAAGACAAGGGTGTCCACACTTGCCCCTCCTATTCAACACAGTTTTGGAAGTCCTAGCCATGACAATCAGAGAAGAAAAAGAAATAAAAGGAATATAAATTGGAAAAGAAGAAGTAAAACTGTCACTGTTTGCAAATGACAGGATACTATACATAGAAAATCCTAAAGATGCCACCAGAAAATTACTAGAACTAATCAATGAATTTGGTAAGGTGGCAGGATACAAATTAATGCACAGAAATCTCTTGCATTCCTATACACTAACAATGAAAAATCAGAAAGAGAACTTAAGGAAACAATCCCTTTCACCATCGCAACAAAAAGACTAAAATACCTAGGAATAAACCTACCTAAGGAGGCAAAAGATCTGTACTCAGAAAACTATAAAGCACTGATGAAAGAAATCAAAGATGACATAAACAGATGGAGAAATATACCATGTTCTTAGATTGGAAGAATCAATATTGTGAAACTGACTCTACTACCCAAAGCAATCTACAGATTCAATGCAATCCCTATTAAATTACCAATGGCATTCTTCACAGAATTAGAAAAAAAAATTTCACAATTTGTATGGAAACACAAAAGACCCCGAACAGCCAAAGCAATCTTGAGAAAGAAATGGAGCTGGAGGAATCAGGCTCCCTGACTAATCTACACTACAAGGCTACAGTAATCAAGACAGTATGGTACTGGCACAAAAACAGAAAGATAGATCAATGGTACAGGGTAGAAAGCCCAGAGGTAAACCCACTCACATATGGTCACCTAATTTATGACACAGGAGGCAAGAACATACAACGGGGAAAAGACAGCCTCTTCAATAGGTGGTGCTGGGAAAACTGGACAGCTACATGCAAAAGAATGAAATTAGAACATTCCCTAACAGCATACACAAAAATAAACTCAAAATGGATTAGAGGCCTAAATGTAAGACCAGATACTATAAAACTCTTAGACAAAAACATAGGCAGAACACTCTTTGATATAAACCACAGCAAGATTTTTTTTGACCCACCTCCTAGAGTAATGAAAATAAAAACAAAAATAAACAAAAGGGACGTAATTAAACTTAAAAGCTTTTGCACAGCAAAGGAAACCATAAATACGATGAAAAGACAGAACCTTCAGAATGGGAGAAAATATGTGCAAACGAAGCAACAAAGGATTCATCTCCAAAATATATAAACAGCTCATGGAGCTCAATATCAAAAAAACAAACAATCCAATTAAAAAATGGGTGGAAGACCTAAATAGACATTTCACCAAAGAAGACATACAGATGGCCAAGAGGCACATGAAAAGCTGCTCAACATCACTAAGTATTAGAGAAATGCAAATCAAAACTGCAATGAGGTGTCACCTCACACTGGTCAGAATGGCCATCATCAAAAAATCTACAAACAGTAAATGCTGGAGAGGGTGTGGAGAAAAGGGAACCCTCTTGCACTGTTGGTGGGAACATAAATTGATACAGCTACTGTGGAAAACAGTATGGAGGTTCCTTAAAAAACTAAAAATAGAACTAGTATATGACCCAGCAATCCCACTACTGGGAATATACCCTGAGGAAACCATAATGCAAAAGGACACATGTACCTCAATGTTCATTGCAGATCTATTTACAATAGCCAGAACATGGAAACAACCTAAATGTCCAACAACAGATGAAAGGATAAAGATGTGGTACATATATACAATGGAATATCACTCAACCATAAAAAGGTATGAGGTTTTTTTTGTTGTTGTTGTTGTTGTTTACATGATAATATTTATCTTTTATTAGATATATTACATATTCCCAAAAATATATAAAATCTTCCAAGAGAAAATATCAAAACCTATTGATTTCAAGGTAAGCAACATAATCAAAACGAAAGCAAAGGATTTCTTCCAGACAAAGGAATGTGAAAACATTTCAGCACAAATACAACAAAGACATGGGAAGGTAATTACAATGTTTTACATTTTACAGCATTTTGTTTTAATCAGTATTTGTAGAAAACAAGGATGCTGAGTTCTCAAACACTGTAGTTACAACCGCAAATTAAATTTTCAGAAAAAAAAATAAGAGAAAGTAATGAACTACTGAACATCTGCAATAATAAACGTAATAAAACATAAGCAAACAAATATGCCACTGAGATCACAACTGAAGTGTATGATTTTTAGTGTGTGCCAGGGACACTAAATTATTTAATCAGTTCTTGACCACAACCCAAAGCAAAAGCATCCTCTCTTCATTTCCCTGATGATTTATTCTAAAAATAAGAAGCAGAAACTTGCTGGTAAAAGAGAATTTCTGCTTTACCTGTGAGCAGCCGGTGGCAACACACACTGAATAAGACCCCAACCAAACACGGGACAGATCCATCTCAAACAACCGGGAGTGGCAAAACCACTATTATTGCAACAAGATTTTTAAATTTCAATTGATCAGAAATTCCAGAACAATTAAGCACACCCGCTTAAACCACAGAACACAGTGAACTCCTATAGGAAGGTTTTATTGGGTATTTGTAGTGAGGTGGATGGACCTAGAGTCTGTCATACAAAGTGAAGTAAGCCAGAGGGAGAAAAACAAATATCGCATCTTAATGCATAGATGTGAAATCTAGAAAAATGGTACAGATGAACCTATTTGCAGGGCAGGAATAGAGGTGCAAATGTAGAGAATGGATATATTGGACACAGGGTGGGAAGGGGAGGGTGGGACTAATTGGGAGATTAGGACTGACATATATACACTACCATGTGTAAAACAGATAGCTAGCAGGAACATGCACAGGAAGCTCAGCTCGGTGCTCTGTGACAACCTAGATGGGTGGGAATGGGGGGGGGGTGTGGGAGGGAGGTCCAAGAGGGAGGGGAAATAGGTATATATATAGTTGGTTCACTTCATTGTACAGCAGAAACTAACACAACATTGTAAAGCAATTATACTCCAATAAAAAAAAATGAAAAAGAAACAAAAGAACAAAGGGTAAGAAACTTCTAGTCTCCAAGGCAGGCTCTTGCCTTCAATCTGACCCATAGAGAAAATTCCATCAGATAATGCAATTTGTGCCTAGTGTTGTGAAAATATAACATGATTTTAAAAGACTTTAAAGAGCAATATCAAAAAGAACTCCCAAAAGACAATGTTAGTCAATAAAAACAGAACATGTTTTCTGTGTAAAAACACATGTTTTACTCACATTTTCCAGAACCACAAGCTATTTTTATTCTTTTGGATGTGTGATGATGAACAGGAGAATTTCAAGAATATTTAGACTATTTATAGCTTTTATTGAAAATTTTGCAATGTTCCTTCACTTCTAAGCTTCATTTTTTTTTAAAGTGTTAGTATATCCTTAAAATCAAACCTCTGTCATTCAAAGACAGAGATTTCTGTTTCTCCCATTCTATTTCTGTTTTCTCCCATTCTCCTTCCTTCTTTCTTCTTCATCTCCCTCTTCAGCCTGTCTTCTTTCCCTCTTGAATATTCCCCATAACCATCGTATGAATCACATTATATTTTACATTATTGTTGTATTTATTCAATTTTTCTTGCTCCCATTTTTTTTTTTTTTTTTGTTTTTTTTTGTTGGTACACGGGCCTCTCACTGTTTTGGCCTCTCCCGTTGCGGAGCACAGGCTCTGGACGCACAGGCTCAGCGGCCATGGCTCACGGGCCCAGCCGCTCCGCGGCATGTGGGATCTTCCCAGACCGGGGCACGAACCTGTGTCCCCTGCATCGGCAGGCGGACTCTCAACCACTGCGCCACCAGGGAAGCCCTCTTGCTCTCATTTTTTAATATAAAAGCTGATTAGTAGAACATATTATACACTGTTTTACTCAAAAAACTCCACAAACAATGAGGTTAAGTGGGCCAATGGTGCTTGATCAACCAAGGCTTTCCCTTGTTTGACACACAGGGACTGGTGACTATGAACTTGGGGATAGCCTTGAGGTGGGAGCTGGTTTGGAGTGACAGTGAAGTTGGCATTCACTTGATCCCTCCTCCCTAAGAAGATTCGGGGCTACCCAGGAAGAAGCAAAATGACCCATCTTTCCAAATTCAGCTCTCAATTTTCCTGCTCTCCCTCCTCCCTCCTCACCCATATGTTTTCCAGGAAGGCCAATGAGTCAGAGAGCAAATGGTCCTTCTCACTTCTCCCTTTCATCTGCCTTCCCCCTGCCTTTGGGAAACATCATCTGTGACTAGCCTAAAGGAAAGGCCAAGGAGACATTCCCAGGGACTGAAGGAGTACTCACTAATTGACAATGTCTTGAAGTTTATCCTGGTGCCACTAGTTCCCCCAGCACTGGTGCTGGCCATGACCTGAACAGTGTAAGAGGTCTTTCGTGTCAGGGACTCCAGGCTATACTGCAAAATGCTGGAGTTGACTGTCTTGACTAAAGGAAAAATATAAAAGTCGAACACCACAGCCAAACCCAAGTGAAAACTGTGCTTTAGTGGCACTGAAATAAAAGCAATGGAACCTGGGCTTCCAAGCTTGGCCACCTCATACCCCAATCTCTCTATTCATGTTCTGATTAAAATCAGCCTATCAAGATGGATCAAAGACCTAAATATAAGAGTTAAATCTATACGACGCTTAGAAAACATAGGATAAATCTATATGTCCTTGAATTTGGCAATGATTTCTTAAATATGACACCAAACACACAAGCAGCAAAAAGATTAAACTGAACTTCATCAAAATTAAAAGTTGTTGTGCATCAAAAGACACTATCAAGAGAGTGAAAAAACAACTTACAGAATGGGAAAATATTTGCAAATCATATATTTGATAAGGAATCTGTATCCAGAATATGTTAAAAAGAACCCCACAAAACTCTAACAGCTCAACACTGGAAGACAAACAACCCAATTTAAAAATGGCAGGGCTTCCCTGGTGGCGCAGTGGTTGAGAGTCCACCTGCCAATGCAGGGGACACGGGTTCGTGCCCGGGTCCGGGAGGATCCCACATGCCGCGGAGCGGCTGGGCCCATGAGCCATGGCCGCTGGGCCTGCGTGTCCAGAGCCTGTGCTCCACAACGGGAGAGGCCACAGCAGTGAGAGGCCCGCGTACCACAAAAAAAATAAAAATAAATAAAAATGGCAAAGAGTCTGAAAAGACTTTCTCCAAAGATACACAAATGGCCAAAGAGCAAGTACAAAGATGCTCTACATCATTAGTTATTAAGGAAGTACAAATCAAAACCACATTGAAATAACACTTTACACCCACTAGGATAGCCACACTTTTTTCTTAAATGGAAAATATCCAGTGTTGGCAAGGATATGGAGAAATTACAATTCTCATATATATTGCTGGTAGAAATGTAAATTGGTGTAGCTGCTATGAAGAGTTTGGTGGCTCTTAAATAAGTTAAACTAGAATTACCATATGACCCAGCAAGTCTACTCCTAGTAATACACCCCAAGGAATAAAAAGCAGAGATTCAAACAGATAGTTGTACACCAATGTTCACAGCAGCATTAATCACACTGGCTAAAAGATGAAAACAACCCAAATGTCCCACCAGCTGATGAATGGATAAACAAAATGTTTATCCATATAGTAGAAAATTATTTAGCCATGAAAAGGAATGAGGTGCTAATACATGCTAGAACATGGATGAACTTTGAACACATTATGCTAGGTGAAAGAAGCCAGGCAAAAAAAGGCCACATGTTGTACGATTCTGTGTATATGAAATATCCAGAATAGGTAAATCCATAGAAACAGAAAGCAATTTTGTGGTTGCCAGGGACTGTGGGACAAGGGTAAGGTAGTGACTGAATGGGTACAGGGTTTCTATCTGGGGTGGAAATAGGTAGTGGTAATGGTTGCACAACATTATGGATGTACTTAATGCCACTAAATTGTACACTTTCAAATGTTTAAAGTGGTAAGTTTTGTGTTATATGTATTTTACCGTAACAACAACAAATTAGCCTAAATGGGAATCCAAGCCTAGCCCAGAACTTAGGATGTTAGGCAATATTGTAGACGCAAGAAAAAAGCAGTGGACAGTAGGAGTCATGGTAAAGGGTCCCGCACTGAAGTAAGTGCCACCAAACAGGGTCTGTCCCCCTCCAGCGTTTAATCCAGGTTATGCCCCACACTGGAATAAAGGTCAGGAAGCTCCCAGAAGGCCCACCTGTTCACGGCCTGACAGGCACAAATTACATCAAGCCCTCTGGTTCCTACCGGACTCTCAGGTACAGTCATTTCACTCTCACCTGACTCTAAAAAACTCAAGAGGTGGGTGCCCTTGGCCCCATTTTCAGAGAAGCTCAAAGAAGCTGAGTGATTCCTGCAAGGTGGCAGGGCACCAGCCATGGGAGTCACCCCTATAGCAGGTCTATCCATAGCATCTATCTGGGGCTTGGGGTTCTTTCAACTTGTCTATAAGCTCACTTACAGAATTCCTTTCCACCTTCAGCTTGGTAAAATACGGTACAGTTGTTGATGAAACCATTTCTCTGACTCTTGGGACTCCTTCCATGTAATTGTGACCATCTCCACACCAATGTTCTCCGCCTTTGTCATGGGACCTGCTGATGGACCTTTATAGGACAGGGAGATAAATAATAAACACCGAATTACACCCCAGCAGATCCTTGCCCCACAAAATCTCTGGCGAGTCCTCAGACTAATCATTGCTGGGGGTGGGAGGTGGGGGAAGAGTAGGGAACTGACGAATTGGTTTGTTTGAGAAAATTGTTGTCTAGAATCATCCATCTTGAACAGGAAAGGAAGCAGTGTCCAAGACCAGAGAACAAGACCTCTCACTCTGATTTGGAGCCCAGCTCTTTCATTCATACCTGTAATAGCTATTATCAAACAATTAAAGAGTATGCCTCCATGGGCTACCTCTGAGTGACAGGATATATTTCCTAAGGTTGAATCTGGAAGATGTTAACTTTCAAAAAGATAAAGTCTGAGTGGTTTGCCAATAAAACCCTGGCTTATCACTACACAATTAAAAATAATTTTTTAGCATCTCCAAGTTATGAATAACTCTTAGGGTTCCTAACTTGGTCTTAGCTAAATGTTGTTTCTGCTTACAGCGCTATTTGCACTAAGTTTCTTTGTGACTTTGGGCAAGTTATTTCACCTCTCTGAGCCTCAATTCTCCATTTGTGAGATGAAGGGCTTGGACTTGATGATCTCTAATGTCTACTCCAGCTTTAAAATTCAGTGAATCCAGGGACTTCCCTGGTGGTCCAGTAGTTGAGACTCCACGCTTCCAATGCAGGGGATGCAGGTTCGACCCCTGGTCGGGGAACTAAGATCCCACATGCCACACAGTGCAGCCAAAAAAAAAAATTCAGTGAATCCATACCGTGACCACAACTGGGTCAAACATACATAGCTTACTACGAGCTAAGGTGCAGCACGGATGGGCACTAAAGCAACTGTGAACAAGCTACAGGCCTTCACAGCCTTGTGTAAATGTTGGACAGGCCCCAGTGTTTCCTTTCCTCAACAGAAACTTGTCCATACATACCACCTTCTTTGACATAAGCCTGGATAGAATATGGCTCACCCACTCGATCTTGCAACATTGGATACACAGAGATGTTATAGCACCGGAAAGGTTTTAGTTCATCTGTGGAAAAAGGGGAGGGGGGAGAGAGAGAGAGGGAAGGTTGGGGAGGGAGGGAGACGTAGAGGAAAGGAGAGGGAGAAAGAGAGAGGGGGGGGGACAGAGAGAGTGGGAAGAGAGAGAAACAAGCATTAGGTGCAGAGCATGGCATAGAAGAAGGAAAGCTAGACTAAGACTTATGGCCTATGACTTACAGAAGATATTTTATTTTTCTATAGTTTCCACATATGGAAAATAAGGAAGTTAGGTTGGATGGTCTCTAATGTCTATTCCATTTCTAATATTTTAAAATTAATTATTAGAACTAAACCTGCACCACTCTGACAAAATGACAGAGCCACCCAGGAAAGGAGAAGTAAGAGCTCCAGTCTCTCCTCCATCACTGATTTTGTTACATGATTTGGGGGCACTACAGAATAAACTTAACCCTTCTTTCAATAGCGTATCACCCTAGAGAACTCAGGTACCATAAATTGTACCTCTTCTGTCTGCATCCCTACATAAGCATAACTCTTCATGTGGATGCTATTAAGAAATGGTTGGAGAGTAAAGCCTCACTTATGTGTCTTACATGGAGCAGGGGCTTTCTTGAAAAGAAGGCTATTCCCTGTATCAATCACCTGGGGAAGGGGCCTAGATCTTAAACAGGCAACCAGAACTGAAGGAGGGGCCCTGGGTAGGACAGATGGGATACAAACTCTGGTGTTATCCACGTGATCAAGATATCTGGGAAGAGCTCTCTGATGGTGGGTGTCAAGATGGTGTTTTCCACCTGGAAACACGCCAGATGCCTGGTCTGATACCTATGGCTTCCTATTCTAGTATTGCTGGGAAATGTCAAGAAGTACACTTCCTTAAGCTTGCCCTAGCTTGTCAAATTCATTACTCACATTTACAGTTTTGAAGCCAAAGTTAAGGATTTAAAAACTGATGAAAATGAAACTGAATCCTACACAGAGGGAATTTGTGGGCTCTGCACTGGCTACCCGGCTGGATTGTCCAGTTCCTGGTCTGAGACACAGATTCCCAGGAAATGGTCGAGGACTCTGTGTCCAAATCTGGGACCCACTCAATCATCCATGTATCTACCTCCAGAACAGAGCTTTACTACTCCATCACCAGCTGGTCCTGAGTGAAGCAGGTCTGCATGGCCTCGATGCACTGAAATGCTGAAAGGAGAAAAGAGGACTGCTTCACAACACCTAACTCATCCTCCAAATGCACCAACAACATTAACATCCATTCACTGCCCAAAGTGTAAAGAAGGTCAAAGTTCAGGATCCCCACTGCAGCCTTCCCCTATGATACTGTTTTTACTGCTTTTATTGTGTCCCTTTTCCTTACCCTCAATATTTGATGAACTGCCTTCTTCATGTTTTGTTATCTTCCCCAATTTTACCTATTTCCAGCAAAGAATCTTACTAGAAGGTTGATGACTAAGATGACTTACAGGGTAGCTCTCGTGTCTCTGCAAGTCAAAAGGAAAGCAAGCCTGAGACAAAGAATGAATCTCTAAAGGTAGAATTTCAGGCACCTGTAATTCTGTGGCTGGGAAGCTGGAAGATGGTGACCCTAAAATCATACCAGGGTGATGGTTTCAAATTTCAATTGTCTAGGCTGGCGCTATACAACCTGGCTACGGAGTCCTATTTTCAAGGTAGAAAGAATTGTGTCTGTAGCAGAAAGACACATCCATCCAAAGCACCTAGGTGTGGACCAATATGTAAATGACTATGTTTTCTGCAGGCCTAGCAAAAAACGCAGGTGGGGAAACAGTCCGCAGGGTTCCTTTAATAGAAAAGTTGAACATGTGGCTTCAAATCCCTTACCAGGGATTTAATCAAATCAGAGAGCTCCCTTATTGGCAATGTTCTGAACACACAGAAGAGAGGACTATTGGAGGTGCAGGGAAGCAGGGAAGGAGGGCATGAAGGAGTGGGGCTCAGAAGACCACTGCATGTGGCTCTTTCCTTCATCTACTCCTCACCACCTACAACACACCTGAGCCTACAAAATTGAAATCCACAGGAAGTATGTTTAAATGAACATCAAAGATGGTCCTGGGGCTTCCCTAGTGGCGCAGTGGTTGAGAGTCCGCCTGCCGATGCGGGGGACGCGGGTTCGTGCCCCGGTCCAGGAAGATCCCACATGCTGTGGAGCGGCTGGGCCCATGAGCCAGGTCCGGAGCCTGTGCTCTGCAATGGGAGAGGCCACAACAGTGAGAGGCCCTGTGTACCGAAAAAAACCAAAAAAAAACAAAAAAAAAAACCGTATAGTCCTGGATGAGGGCAGAAGAGGAGACAGAGTCCCTCAAAATAACCAAAATTCCTCTTGAAGCTGGAAGCCTAGGCAAGGGTAGAGATTTGATGTAGGGGGCCGGGGGGTACTGAATTCCGCTATTTCTATGCAGCAAGCCCCAGTGGGGTGTGTGTATATTTAGGAGCTTCTGTTCCTGAAGGCCACAGTTGGCGGAGCCTTTCCCCAAACCAGGCCTTTATGAGAGACTCCAGCTTCTGGTCTAGAAGTAAGGCCAGAGAATTTGTCTACCTGAAAGGGTAGCTCTGAGGAAGGGCAACTGAGGCATGGGGAAAATGTGAAGCTGGAGCGGGGGCAAGGAGCACAGAGCCAGGAAATCAACCCCACCTGAGCCTTAGGGCTCCTGCTTTCTCCTCCCTGCCCTACCCTGCTCATAGCCTCTAAGCAGCCTTAGTCGCTGTTCCAGTCAGGCTGAAAGTCTGATTTCACAGCAGTTCACACAAACCAGCAGAACACACACACACTGACCAGTTCAGTGTCACACAGCCAGATTTCTAAGTCACTTTATTAATACCAAGTCCAAGGCTCTGGATAAAGTACATTGTACAAGTTTGGAATCATGCAGACCTGGGCTTGAATTCCACTTGAGAGACTCTGAGCAAATTACTAAGCTTTCCTGAATCTCAGCTTCATCAGCTATAAAGTGAATCTAATAGCACCTACCCCATGGGTCATTTCAAGGCTAAAATCAGATTAACCTATACCATCTTAGCACAATGTCTGATACATCCTAATGGACAATATTGGATAATTATACTTACTTAATGATTGTTAAACTTACAATTATTATTATTATTATAACTATTCTCCAGTTGACTCTACTTTATTAAACAAAATTCTGTAGAGCATTACTTTCTTATATATGTCTAGGACCAGGACCTGTAAAGAGGTCTATATAGGGCCAAATATAAACATTTTAGGTTTTGCAGGCCTCTGTTGCAACTACTCAGATCTGCCATTGTTGCACAAAGGGAGACATAGACGATGTAAAAACGAATAGGTGTGGTTGTGTTCCAATAAAACTTTATTTACAAAAACAGGTGTCAGGCCAGGTTTGACCCACAAGCTATAGTTTGCCTACACTTGGTCTGGAACCATTATAACTGATGATTGTGCCAATACTTGTGACATAAAGCAAATACCTCCAGAATTGGGAAAAATAAAAAATGCTGTGTGAATTTAGCATAATCTTAAAGTGTATTTTATGATATTTTTAAAGTCGGTAATCCATGTCTAATAGAAATTCAATTAGTTAGACATTTTGTTAAGAATCACAATAATAATAATTAGCACTAGACAAAGCATTCTATACACAGTCTCATTTAATATTCACAGTAGCCTTATGAGGGAGGTATAACTAAAAGCCCATTTAATAAGTAGCTAAGGTTTAGAGAGGTTAGATAATTTGCCCAATGTTTATGGTATCTAGTGAAAGAGCAAAGATTTGAATCCAGAGCTGCTAGACTCTACAGCCCATGTTTTTATTCCCTACCCTTTCCTGCCTCCCACTACAGGGCCACACCAGGAAACTACGATTACTATTCGTCAGTGCCTCTGTTAACACAGAATGTGTGTTCAGTGACACACACATTTGTCGGAAACTTCATCACCAGGGGTATTGGACAGGCAGGAACTAGGATGCCAGGAACTAAGGGCTGTGGCAAACACTGACTAAAACAATATCAAATACTGACTGTAGCTCAAAACACACACACACGAAATATATATCTAGGAGTTCTAAAATGAGGCAAAAGAAGACATGGGTTAAGTTTAAGAAGAGAAAGAAGAGGGACTTCCCTGGTGGTCCAAGTGGTTAAGAATCTGCCTTCCAATGCAGGGGGTGCGGACTCGATCCCTGGTCAGGGAACTAAGATCCCACATGCCATGGGGCAACTAAGCCAGCACACTGCAACTACTGAGCCTGCGCACTTTGGAGCCTGCTCACTCGCTACAACTAGAGAGAAGCCCGTGCACCGCAACGAAGAGCCCACGTGCCACGACGAAAGATCCCACGTGCCTCAACTAAGACCCAACATAGCCAAAAACAGATAAATAAATATTTAAAAATTTAAAAATAAATAAAAATAAAAACTACTATGATTAAAAAAAAGAAGAGAAAGAAGAAAGCACAGGCAGACAAGTCTAGCGCTGGTAGTGTAAATGCCTGATATAATTCTAGATCTAAGCAAACAGAGCGAGATGGAGAATTGGAGAGTGCATTCCCTAGCTATGGTGTGTTTCAACAAATAGTTACTGAGCGTCTTTTCTATGCCAACTGCTGTGTTTATTCTAGATTTTGGAAATGGAGGAGGAGGAGGAGAGGAGGACCAGGAGGAGAAAGAAAATGAGAAGAAGAGAAAAAGAGACCAAAAAGAAAAATCTCTGCTCTTGTGGAACTTGCATCCTATTGATGGAGAGATAGGTAATAATCAAAATAAATGAGAAAATCTATAGAATGAGGAATAGTAAGATCTATAGAGAAAAATAAAGCAGGGAAGAGGGAATCCATTGCTTGCAATTCCTTGACTAAGACTCAAAGAAGCTATTTTATTCCAAAACAGAATACAAAATATGAGTTTACCTGGGAGCAGTAACATTCCTAAAATTACTTAATTAAAGGTGTAACGAGCAATTTATTGGAAAGTATAAACATTAGAAATTTCCCTAACTTGATAGTCAAATGGAAAGGAGAGAAGGAAGAAAACAGGAGTGAGCAAACCACGCCTGGGTTGCAGTCAATCCTGCGACGGGAAGATTTCAAAAGAGAGGTTTCAGCCACTGAGGATAAATGTGGCAGATCTGACAGATTTTTATGACTTAACCCAGCTTACACTGACTCAGAACAAAATAAATACAGGCTGCATGTAGAACTTCTAGGCTCATGACTTTGTATCATATGATTTATGAAGTCTCTGATTTTCAACACAGGCTTTGTTCCAAAGGAACTTTATTTCAAGAGGTTCGTGAATTACTCAAAGATTATGATCGCTCCCCCATAACCTAAAAAGTCCTCACTTCAGAATCATTTTGACTCTAGAGAAACAGCAGCCTCTGAGAGGACAGGGAGTACTCCTTGGACATTTGGATGGGGTCAGGCATCTAAGTAAGAAGTTTATGTTATACTTACACTTTTCATCAATAGCTGGAATCCTAAGCGTGGCCACTGGAGACTCCCCAAGAGAATTGTAAGAAATCACATATACCCGGTAGGTCTTGCCTCCCAGATACAATTTAAGCTGCTGGTTAGTGGTGTTCATTGTCTCTGTGAGGTTAGTGTTGTTTTCTGGAAAATACCATATGTTGGTAGCCTAGAGTTTTCTCCAGGACCGGGGCTCCTTTTGCCTTCTGAACACAGAGGAAACAAAATGTATTGCCAAAAGCAAAGAAAGAAAGGCATTGAGACAGTCATAAATGGTGGGAATCGGGTTGGGAGGTAATATCAACTATAAGGTGCTAAACTACAATCAGGTAATTACCCTTCCAGGATGCATAACATACCCTGTGCCAGTAACAGCTTTATTGAGATATAATTCACACACCAGAAAATTCACCTTTTTGAAGTGTACAATTCATTGGCTTTTAGTATATTCACAGAGTTGTGTAACCATCACCACTATCTAATTTTAGTCCATTCTTTTTTAAGCAGCTCTAATTCATAGAAAACTCTCCTATTGAAGCAAAAGGAAGACCAGCCCCCAGGCGAGGGGAAGGAGGGCATTGAAGTCCATCTCACCTACTTCACAGGTTGGCCTACTTGACCCACGTGGGTCTGGCCTCACGCAGTATGTGCCACTGTTTACTTTCCTACCTCAAAAATATGTTGACAGGGCTTCTCTGGTGATGCAGTGGTTAAGAATCCACCTGCTAATGCAGGGGACACGGGTTCGATCCTTGGTCCGGCAAGATCCCACATGCCACGGAGCAACTAAGTCTGTGGCCACAACTACTGAGCCTGCTTTCTAGAGCCTGTGAGCCACAACTACTGAAGCCCATGCGCCTAGAGCCCATGCTCCACAACAAGAGAAGCCACAGCAATGAGAAGCCCACGCACCACAACAAAGAGTAGCCCCCACTCACCGCAATTAGAGAAAGCCTGTGTGCAGCAATGAAGACCCAACGCAGCCAAAAATAGATAAATAAAAATAAAATCTATATAAAAAAATACGTTGACAGAATCATTCGTTTCCACACTTGATAACTGAGAAAGAACCCACAACATCTGGCATTGATTCTCAAAGATTTCCCAATGCCACTGGCTATGCTTTCCCTTGCCTGCTGCCTCTGAGGGTGCCCCTCAGCCCTTGGGGTGGGAAGGGAAAGGAGAAAGGTAGAAGAATGCTCCAACCCTGAAGTGATTGGGATTGGAATGTCATTTGGAAAAACAGGGTGATTTCTCCATTTTCAAAAGGATTTTAAACTTGCCTGAACTTGAGCAAGTATGAGATAACCCGATGAGTATTACCTGAGAATTCTGGAGACACACCAAAGAGTTTTGGCATCTCATTGCTCTCCTCCCTCTCTTCTTTCCCCCACCTCCCTACCTCCTCTCTCCTATTTCCTGGCTGCTTTTTCCCTGTTTGCCCTTTTCCTTTCCTGCTTCTTCCCCTCCTTTTCTGTCCTTTTTCTTACCATCTCCTCTCATCTCTTCCTGCTCGCTCATCTCCTCTGCATTACCCACCTGGCTCCTCCTTTGTTCCTCACTCCCCGGCCTCCATCCTACAAAGGACGCTTCTTCTATCCTTGCACCCCACTATCCCAGTACTCAGGGAGTCACTTGTGCAGTATATGTTGGCAGTAACTTCAGGACACACCAGTAAGCTCACCGCAAGTCAGTGCTCTTCTCCACTGTGGCGGTGGGGCTATATATTACATTGTCTTCTAGTGGAGGCCAGCCAGTGACAGTCTTCTCCAGAAGGTCAAGGTGCCTCCTGCACTTACACTTTGTACCTGCCCCAAATGTTAACATTTCAGACCAAATAAGAGGGGCCAGGGTCTGTAATTCACATTTAGGCCATCTACAAAATGACTTATAGGGCTTTTTGGAGATGGGAAACGGTTGTGAGATTTGGGGCATCAAAGCCTCTAGGGAAGGAAATTAAGGAGGTAAAATGCCAATAATCACAGTTCTTAGAGGTGTAAGAGACCAAGGCTTTTAAACAGAAACTGTAAATAAATAACCCAGAGGGAGGTCACCTTCCACAGCAACTGCACTGGCCTTCTTCCATCCACCTCGGCTAGTCCCAGGACTCGCCACAGATCCAGGCCATGTGGAGCTGGAAGGAACAAGAGTGAGGTGCTCAACACAGACTGGAGGCAATTGCAGCAGTAGATGGTGACATGAGCTAGGCTGCCTGTTTAGAAAATGCAGTTGGAAAGGATTTGCTCGAGGGAGGCAGCAGGAGTGAGGGGCAGAGTGGCGGGATGGCAACATTGCAATGATGTCTTCATTTCGTGACTGAAGGACTGGAATCAACCAAAGGTCAAAAGTAACTAGCAATCTATAAAATCAGTATCCTATATATAAATCATTCCTCCCCTCCCAATGAAAACACTGGGATTTTCTTGTGTTAGAACACTACTGTAATGTGGTGCAAAGCTTTGTACTTTGTGAAAAAATAAAATCTCAATTATTTAGTGCAAAAGTAAAAATAAAATAATAAAATTTCCCTTGGATCTGATGACTAAAGGTAATGTAAAATAAAACTACAATAGACCCCATCATAATATAATTTATCATTCAAATCTGGATTGGAATGTGACATCTCATATCCTCTAAGATATAACATTCACATATATTAAAGCTGGGAATGACATAGATAACTGATAAAGAGATTATATAGAGAGGAACCAAGATGGCGGAGCAGAAGGACATGCTTTCACTCCCTCTTGCGAGAGCACCGGAATCACAACTAGCTGCTGGACAAGCATCGACAGGAAGAAACGGGAACTCACCAAATAAGATACCCCACATCCAAAGACAAAGGAGAAGCCACAATGAGATGGTAGGAGGGGCGCAATCACAGTAAAATCAAATCCCATAACTGCTGGGTGGGTGAATCACAGACTGGAGAACACTTATACCACAGAAGTCCACCCACTGGAGTGAAGGTTCTGAGCCCCACGTCAGGCTTCTGAACCTGGGGGTCTGGCAACAGGAGGAGGAATTCCTAGAGAATCAGACTTTGAAGGCTAGCAGGATTTGATTGCAAGACTTTGACAGGACTGGGAGAAACGGAGACTCCACTACTGGAAGGCACACAGAAAGTAGTGTGTGCATCGGGACCCAGGGGAAGGAGCAGTGATCCCAGGGGAGACTGAACCAGACCTACCTGCTAGTGTTGGAGGGTCTCCTGCAGAGGCAGGGGGTGGCTGTGGCTCACCGTGGGGACAAGGACACTGACAGCAGAAGTTCTGGGAAGCACTCCTTGGTGTGAGCCCTTCCAGAGTCTGTCATTAGCCCCACCAAAGAGCCCAAGTAGGCTCCACTGTTGGGTTGCCTCAGACCAAACAACCAACAGGGAGGGAACCCAGCCCCACCGATCAGCAGAGAAGCAGACTGAAGTTTTACGGAGCTCTGCCCACCAGAGCAACAGTCAGCTCTACCCACCACCAGTTCCTCCCATCAGGAAACTTACACAAGCCTCTTAGATAGCCTCATCCACCAGGGGGCAGAGAGCAGAAGCAAGAACACCTACAATCCTGCAGCCTGCAGAACAAAAACCACATTCACAGAAAGATAGACAAGATGAAAAGGCAGGGGGCTATGTACCAGATGGAGGGACAAGATAAAACCCCAGAAAAACAACTAAATGAAGTAGAGATAAGCAACCTTCCAGAAAAAGAATTCAGAATAATGATAGTGAAGATGATCCAGGACCTCGGAAAATAAATGGAGGCAAAGATCGAGAAGATGCAAGAAATGTTTAACAAAGACCTAGAAGAATTAAAGAACAAACAGAGAAGAACAATACAATAACTGAAATGAAAATTACACTATAAGGAATCAATAGCAGAATAACTGAGGCAGAAGAACGGATAAGTAACATGGAAGACAGAATGGGGGAATTCACTACTGCAGAACAGAATAAAGAAAAATGAATGAAAAGAAATGAAGACAGCCTAAGAGACCTCTGGGGCAACATTAAATGCAACAACATTTGCATTATAGGGGTCCCAGAAGGAGAAGAGAGAGAGAAAGGACCAGAAAAAATATTTGAAGAGAATATAGTCAAAACCTTCCCCAACATGGGAAAGGAAATAGCCACCCAAGTCCAGGAAGCACAGAGAGTCCCGTACAGGATAAAACCAAGGAGAAACACGCTGAGACACATAGTAATCAAATTGGCAAAAATTAAATACCAAGAAAAATTATTGAAAGCAGCAAGGGAAAAATGACAAATAACATACAAGGGAACTCCCATAAGGTTAACAGCTGATTTCTCAGCAGAAACTCTACAAGCCAGAAGGGAGTGGCATGATATACTTAAAGTGATGAAATGGAAAAACCTACAACCAAGATTACTCTAACCAGCAAGGATCTCATCCAGGTTCGATGGAGAAATCAGAAGTTTTACAGACAAGCAAAAGCTAAGAGAATTCAGCACCAGCAAACCAGCTCTACAACAAATGCTAAAGGAACTTCTCTAAGTGGGAAACACAAGAGAAGAAAAGGACCTACAAAAACAAACCCAAAGTGATTAAGAAAATGGTAATAGGAACATACATATTGATAATTACCTTAAACGTGAATCGATTAAATGCTCCAACCAAAAGACACAGGCTTACTGAATAGATACATAAACAAGACCCATATATATGCTGTCTACAAGAGACCCACTTCAGACCTAGGGACACATTCAGACTGAAAGTGAGGGGATGGAAAAAGATATAACATGAAAATGGAAATCAAAAGAAAGCTGGAGTACCAATACTCTTATCAGATAAAATAGACTTTAAAATAAAGAATGTTACAAGAGACAAGGAAGGACACTACATAATGATCAAGGGATCAATCAAAGAAGATATAACAATTATAACTATATATGCACCCAATATAGCAGCACCTCAATACATAAGGCAACTGCTAACAGCTATAAAAGAGGAAATCGACAGTAACACAATAATAGTGGGGGACTTTAACACCTCACTTACACCAATGGACAGATCATCCAAAATGAAAATAAATAAGGACACAGAAGCTTTAAGTGACACAATAGACCAGACAGATTTAATTGATATTTATAGGACATTTCATCCAAAAACAAGAGATTACACTTTCTTCTCAACTGCGCACGGAACATTCTCCAGGATAGATCACATCTTGGGTCACAAAGCAAGCCTCGGTAAATTTTAAAAAATTGAAATCATATCAAGCATCTTTTCTGACCACAATGCTATGAGATTAGAAATCAATTACAGGGGAAAAAAAGCAAAAACCACAAACACATGGAGGCTAGACAATACGTTACTGAAGAACCAAGCGATCACTGAAGAAATCAAAGAGGAAATCAAAAAATTCATAGAGACAAATGACAATGAAAACACGACAATCCAAAACCTATGGGATGCAGCAAAAGCAGTTCTAAGAGGGAAGTTGATAGCTATACAAGCCTACCTCAAGAAACAAGAAAAATCTCAAATAAACAATCTAACCTTATATCTAAAGGAACTAGAGAAAGAAGAACAAACAAAACCCAAAGTTAGCAGAAGGAAAGAAATCATAAAGATCAGAGCAGAAATAAATGAAATAGAAACAAAGAAAACAGTAGCAAAGATCAATAAAACTAAAAGCTGGTTCTTTGAGAAGATAGATAAAACTGATAAACCATTAGGCAGTCTCATCAAGCAAAAGAGGGAGAGGACTCAAATCAATAAAATTAGAAATGAAAAAGGAGAAGTTATAACAGACACCGCAGAAATACAAAGCATCCTAAGAGACTACTACAAGCAATCTATGCCAATAAAATGGACAACCAGGAAGAAATGGACAAGTTCTTAGAAAAGCACAGCTTTCCTAGACTGAACCAGGAAGAAACAGAAAATATGACCAGACCAATCACAAGCAGTGAAATTGAAACTGTGATTAAAAATATTCCAACAAACAAAAGCCAAGGACCAAATGGCTTCACAGCCAAATTTTATCAAACATTTACAGAAGAGCTAACACCTAACCTTCTCACACTCTTCCAAAATATAGCAGAGGGAGGAACACTTCCAAACTCATTCCATGAGGACACCATTACCCTGATACCAAAGAAATAAAACTACAGGCCAATATTATTGATGAACATAGATGCAAAAATCCTCAACAAAATACTAGCAAACAGAATCCAGCAGCATATGAACAGGATCACACACCATGATCAACTGGGTTTTACCCCAGGAATGCAAGGAAACTTCAATATATGCAAATCAATCAATGTGATACACCATATTAACAAACTGAAGGATAAAAACCATATGAGCATCTCAATAGATGCAGAAAAAGCTTTTGACAAAATTCAACACCAATTTATGATTTAAAAAATTCTCCAGAAAGTAGGCATAGAGGGAACCTACCTCAACATAATAAAGGCCATATATGACAAACCCACAGCCAACATCATTCTCAGTGGTGAAAAACTGAAACCATTTCCACTAAGACCAGGAACAACACAAGGTTGCCCATTCCCACCATTATTATTCAACATAGTTTTGGAAGCTCTAGCCACAGCAATTAGAGAAGAAAAAGAAATAAAAGGAATCCAAGTTGGAAAAGAAGTAAAACGGTCACTGTTTGCAGATGACATGATACTATACATAGAGAATCCTAAAGATGCCACCAGAAAACTACTAGAGCTAATCAACGAATTTGGTAAAGTAGCAGGGTACAAAATTAATGCACAGAAACCTCTTGCATTCCTATACACTAATGATGAAAAATGTGAAAGAGAAATTAAGGAAACACTCCCATTTACTATCGAAACAAAAAGACTAAAATACCTAGGAATAAACCTACCTAAGGAGACAAAAGACCTGTATGCAGAAAATTATAAGACACTGATGAAAGAAATTAAACATGATACAAAGAGATGGAGAGATATACCATATTCTTGGATTAGAAGAATCAACATTGTGAAAATGACTATACTACCCAAAGCAATCTAGAGATTCAATGCAATCCCTATAAAACTACCAATGGGATTTTTCACAGAACTAGAACAAAAAATTTCACAATTTGTATGGAAACACAAAAGACCCCAAATAGCCAAAGCAATCTTCAGAAAGAAAAACGGAGCTGGAGGAATCAGGCTGCCTGACTTCAGACTATACTACAAAGCTACAGTAATCAAGACAGTATGGTACTGGCACAATAAAAGAAACATGCATCAATGGAACAGGATAGAAAGCCCAGACATAAACACATGCACATATGGTCACCTTTTCTTTGATAAAGGAGGCAAGAACATACAATGGAGAAAAGACAGCCTCTTCAATAAGTGGTGCTGGGAAAACTGGACAGCTACATGTAAAAGAATGAAATTAGAACACTCCATAACACCATACACGGGCTTCCCTGGTGGCTCAGTGGTTGAGAGTCCGCCTGCCGATACAGGGGACATGGGTTCGTGCCCCAGTCCCGGAAGATCGCACATGCCGCGGAGCGGCTGTGCCCGTGAGCCATGGCCACTGAGCCTGCGTGTCCGGAGCCTGTTGCTCCGCAATGGGAGAGGTCACAACAGTGAGAGGCCTGCGTACCGCAAAACAAACAAACAAAAAAAAAACATAACACCATACACAAAAATAAACTCAAAATGGATTAAAGACCTAAATGTAAGGCCAGACACTATAAAACTCTTGGAGGAAAACATAGGCAGAACACTCTATGACATAAATCACAGCAAGATTCTTTTTGACACATCTCCTAGAGAAATGGAAATAAGAACAAAAATAAACAAATGGGACGTAATGAAACTTAAAAGCTTTTTGCACAGCAAAGAAAACCATAAACAAGACGACTCAGAATGGGAGAAAATATTTGCTAACGAAGCAACTGACAAGGAGTCAACTCCAAAATATACAAGCAGCTCACGCAGCTCAATATCAAAAAAAACAAAAAGCCCAATCCAAAAATGGGCAGAAGACCTAAATAGACATTTCTCCAAAGAAGATATACAGATTGCCAACAAACACATGAAAGGATGCTCAACATCACTAATCATTAGAGAAATGCAAATCAAAACTACAATGAGGTGTCACCTCACACCAGTCAGAATGGCCATCATCAAAAAATCTACAAATAATAAAAGCTGGAGAGAGTTGGAGAAAAGGGAACCCTCTTGCACTGTTGGTGGGAATGTAAGTTGATACAGCCACTATGGAGAACAGTATGGAGGTTCCTTAAGAAACTAAAAATAGAACTACCAAATGACCCAGCAATCTCACTACTGGGCATATACCCCAAGAAAACCATAATTCAAGAAGAGTCATGTACCACAATGTTCATTGCAGCTCTATTTACGATAGTCAGGACATGGAAGCAACCTAAGTGTCCATCGCCAGATGAATGGATAAAGAAGATGTGGCACATATCTGAGTAATGGAATGTTACTCAGCCATAAAAAGAAATGAAATTGAGTTATTTGTAGTGAGGTGGATGGACCTAGAGTCTGTCATACAGAGTGAAGTAAGTCAGAAAGAGAAAAACAAATGCTGTATGCCAATGCATATATATGGAATCTTAAAAAAAAAAAAGAAAAAAGAAAAAAACGGTTCTGAAGAACCTAGCGGCAGGACAGGAATAAAGACGAAGACGTAGAGAATGGACTTGAGGACACAGGGAAGGGGAAGGGGAAGCTGGGACGAAGTGAGAGAGTAGCGCTGACATGTATACACTACCAAATGTAAAATAGATAGCTAGTGGGAAGCAGCTGCATTGCACAGGCAGATCAGCTCGGTGCTTTTTTACCACCCAGAGGGGTGATATAGGGAGGGGGGGTGGGAGATGCAAGAGGGAGGGGATATGGGGACATATGTATACATATAGCTGATTCACTTTGTTATACAGCAGAAACTAACACAACAATAATTGTAAAGCAATTATACTCCAATAAAGATGTTAAAAAAAAAAACAGGGGGCTTCCCTGGTGGCGCAGTGGTTAAGAGTCCACCTGCCGATGCAGGGGACACGGGTTCGTGCCCTGGTCCGGGAAGATCCCACATACCGCGGAGCGGCCGGCCCCTTGAGCCATGGCCGCTGAGCCTGTGCGTCCGGAGCCTGTGCTCCACAACGGGAGAGGCCACAACAGTGAGAGGCCCGCGTACAGCAGAAAAAAAACAATTAAAAAAAAACAAAAACAGGAGTACTGGCAGTACTCCTCAAGACTGCCAAGGTCATGAGAAATAAGGGAAAACTAAAAAACTGTCACCGACCAGAAGTGACTAAGGAGACATGACAGTTCAGTGCAGTATGCTACCCTGAATTAGATCCCGGAACAGAAAGAGAACATTAAGGAAAAACTAGTGAAATCCAAATAAAGTCTGGAATTTACTTGATAGTCGGGTGCTAGTATCAGTTTCTTAGTTTCGTCAAATACACTATGGTATTATAAAATAGTAACAATGAGGGAAACTGGATGAGGGGTATATAAGAATTCTCTACACTATGTTCACAATATTTGTGTAAATTTAAAATTAAAACAGAATGTTTGTTTTTTAAACATGGACAACTGAAGTCTAGATTTGCCCCTCTCACACATCTATCCTTCTCCCCTTCTTAAGAAAAAACATATAACCATATTTCTACATTTCTAGAAATAACTATTTCCCCTATTTTTAGAAATAAGGAGAAATAGTCATAACTTTCCTGTAAGAAAGATAAGGATAATGTTCTTGCTTATCAGAGAATTTCCCACATGCAAAAGGAATATTTTTCAAAATTAAAAAGCTGTTCTTGATCTCCCTTCTTCCCGCTACGCTCGTTATCACTTCGGTACTGTTGTAAAGTTAGTGTTTGTTCTGAAAAATGTCTTGAAATAAAAGAAGGGCAAGGCTGAGACCAAGCGAAGAATAGTCTAGAAGGGAAGTAGTGTGGAAACTGGAGTCAGTTATGTAGGAAATTATTAAGTGAAACATGGCAAGAGAAGACAAAGATCTAAGATCGAAAAAGACAAGTCGAGGGGAAAGGTGTCATGATCCTCATCACCAGAACTTTAAATTGGATTAACTGGAAGCAACTGTTGATTTCTGAGGTGGCCAAAAGAGGCTGAATGAGACAGAGAGACACAGGCCTACCTGCCTGTATTATCTACAAAGCTCTGGAGTGCCACATGTGTAACTCCAGGGAGCTGCAGGGCAGGCCAGGCCAGGACAGAGGTCTGGAAGACATTCTCATTATCTCCAGATCACAACTGCCTTCTGGGTGACCCCCAATTACTACATGTTATGGGCTGAATTATGTCCCTCCCCTCAAAACTCACATCTCTCTGCCAGTACCTCAGAAGGTGACTACATTTGGAAATAGGGCATTTAAGGAGGTATTAATTAAAATGAGGCCATTAAAGTGGGCCCTAATTCAATCTGACTGGTGTCCTTATAAGGGGAGATTAAGATACACAGACGGATGACCATGTGAAGAGGCAGCAAGAGGATGGTTATCCACAAGCCAAGGAGGGAGGTGTCAGAGAAAATCAACTCTGTAGGCACCCTGACCTTGGACTTCCAGTCTCCACAACCGTGAGAAAATAAACTTCTGTTGCTCAGGCCACCCAGTCTGTGGTATTTTGTTATGGCAGCCTCAGCAGACTAGTATGTATACTACATGTCTTCTCTACTTCCCCAGTGCCCAATCCCCACTTTTTTAAATCTGGTCTTAATTTTTTTTTTACCATAATATGTGATCAAAGTAATACATCTTAGACCTGCAAGGTGTTGTATGGGTATTAGGCCCATAGTTTTGAGTTGGACCATTGTAGGTATATGGTGTTTCATTTCCCTTTTTATCCTTGAAATTTACGGCAAATGGTGTGAAAATGGTATTTTTGTATGTGTGCGTCTTATATGAAACCAATGCACTTAACACAGAAATTATCAAGGTAAGCACCAACCATTACTCTAAAACAGTGAATCTTAATCTTTTTTTGGGGGGAGGGGCGGGCGGTACGCGGGCCTCTCACTGCTGTGGCCTCTCCCGTTGCGGAGCACAGGTTCCAGACGCACAGGCCCAGCGGCCACGGGCCCAGCCGCTCTGCGGCATTTGGGATCCTCCCGGACCAGGGCACGAACCTGCGTCCCCTGCATCGGCAGGCGGACTCTCAGCCACTGCGCCACCAGGGAAGCCCAAATCTTGATCTTTTGGAGGGTTGTAGCTCCCCTTGAAAATATGATCTTGCAAAATCTGCACATGCATAAATATATATCAGCATGCATACAGACCCCCACGCAAATTCAGGGAGCCCACAAATCCCCCAGTGTCCATCCATGTGTGTCTATATCCAGGTGTCGTCCCTTTGTTCTCAAGTTAACAATTCTTATCCAAAGAACGCAAAAAGAATCACATAATCCATAAAAGGGCACAGGCTGACCTACCTGCCAGGCCAAATTTGCAGAGTAGAGGGAGCATCCACAGTGTCCAGCCCCACATTGTCCCCAAGTTAATGCAGGGAGGCTGGGAAGAAAACTGAAAATATCATCAGTCAAGAATGAGGTTGCTTCCTATCTCTTTTCAACAACTCTATTTCCAGTGACAAATAGATTCTGGGAATTTTGAGGAAAGGTATTTTATTTTATATATTTTATATTACATTTTATTTTGTTTTATTTATTTATTTGGTTATCATCACCCAGATCCCTTCATAATTACTCCATTAACCCCAGTCAACATTTTATTTCGTCCACAAGTCATTCTACTATATATTAGAGGAAGTGCACCAGCCACCAAGAATATACTCCAGAAAGAGTACAGTCCTCCAGTTTCTGCTTCAGTTCCTGAGCACTCCAGCCAAACGGGACATCTCATAATTTCCCAAAAGCACCCTGCGATTTCGCATCTCCACACTTTGTCCATGTGGATCCTTCTGCCTAGAATGTCATTTCCTCCTTATTCCTGAAAATTAATCCATCCTTCCAGACTCAGCTCAAGGCTAACCTCTAAATGCCTTCCCTCAACTCCCAGATGGACTCGGCCAGCCAGTCCTCCTGTGTCCCACCCACCCTCCATGCCATCTGTACTGTGGCACACGGCACACAGAATGGCGTTTAGTAGTTTATCTGTTGGCTTCTCTACAGATAGAGAGCTTCTGAAGAGTGGAGCTTCTCTAATGCCTCTATGAAGCCTTAGTGTTGAAGGCAGTGCCTTCAACAGTAGACATTCACTACTGTTCGTGGAATAATTAGAATAAAAGACTATTGGCACTGGCTCCTCATCTCATCCCAGATGAGATGGTGAGATAGTCTCAGGATATAGCAAATGTAAAAGCAATACCTCCCTTTCAGGAAGAAATAAATGCTACATTTTCAGCTGACATATCATCATAGGGGGGAAAAAAGGAGAGTGCTCAACAAAATAAATCATTTTAGAAAAAATCCCATGCAGCATTTCTGGACAAAACCACAGGGATAACATTTTCTCACACACAAACCAAGTGAAATACCTAATTGAAAATGCCTAAGGCAAAATAAAGCAGAATGAGAACTTGGATCCATAATAATAAAAATACCATCATGAAACAATAAGAGACTGGTTACATAACAGCAATAGTTAATGCCCGTTATTCAAAAGCTATAGCTAGTCTCTCCAAAATAACCATTTTGATTGAAATGAGTATAAAACTTAAAGGGAAAATTTTTTAAGTTTTTCAGTGAAGAATAAATGTGTTCTTTGAAAATTAATTATAACGGTAATAGCATTTTTTTTTTGGCCACGCGGCATGTGGGACCTTAGTTCCCCAAGCAGGGATCGAACCCGTGCCCTCTGCAATGGAAGCGCAGAGTCCTAACCACCGGACCGCCAGGGAATTCCCAGTAATAGTATTTTTAACGTCTAACTATTCACAATGTTGTCTTAATTTTCGCTAATTCTTAGCCAAAAGACATGCCTTTACAAGTTCTAAAAGCATATTGGAAAGGTAGGGAGGCCCAACCATGTAGGCTGACATTCTCAGTAATTGAATAAATAAATAATTACGGGTGCTAAAGCTCAAACTGTTATTCCAATACAGGATTTTGCATTTAAAAATCTTATCAATATTAAATATTGAATATTTTATGTATATAAAATATTTTAATTAATTGTAGCTATTGCTTGCTTCCTTTATAGTGAGAACACTCACCTATTATTTGTGAATTTTTTTTAGGCCTTAAGAAAAAGCAACAGGGCTTCCTTGGTGACTCAGTGGTTAAGAATCCACCTGCCAATGCAGGGGACACAGGTCCGAGCCCTGGTCCGGGAAGATCCCATGTGCCACGGAGCAACTAAGCCCATGCGCCACAACTACTGAGCCTGCGCTCTAGAGCCCACGAGCCACAACTATTGAGCCTACACACCACAACTCCTGAAGCCCATGTGCCACAACTACTGAAGCCCACACACCTAGAGCCCATGCTCCGCAACAAGAGAAGCCACCGCAATGAGAAGCCCGCGCACCACAAGGAAGAGTAGCCCCCGCTCACCGCAACTAGAGAAAGCCCACATGCAGCAACAAAGACCCAATGCAGCCAAAAATAAATAAATAAATTTAAAGGAAAAAAAAAAAAGAAAGAAAAAGCAACAGTACTAAGTTATACCCAGAGACAAAGCTGGAAAAATTGCAGAAGAAAAAAGGCTGAGGACCAGTGATCTACTTGCAGAGACAGCAGCATGGACAGTAACAGAAAATATCACCTGGTAAGTGTTGTAATTACAGTAGTACAAGGAGAGCACAGAGCGTCCATGGAGAGGAAAGAGCTGACAACTGGGGAAAGCCAACAAGCGTTGCCAGGATGATGATAATGCCTGTTTGTCCTCCAGTGCCTTTTCCACTTGCCCTCGCACAGCAGAGAACCACCACATGTGACGGCTTGTTGGTAGTAAATGCGAACAAATGTGAGGTGCCGCCCAGGAACTCAGAAATAAGTTCAACTGAGAGTTCAACCAGCAAAATCTGTGCACAAAGGCTATCCTAGTTAACTGTGGGAGTAAATCAAGAATGTATTGGTAAAAGGGTAATTGAAGAACTTGAATTCTCTCCAAACTCCATCCAAGGAAGCCTGGGTATATACTCAAGAGAGTTGGATCTGGAAAATCAACATTGCCATTTAGCTGCATGAATCTATTCAACTAATTGTATCCTAAATGGAAGGAGATTTGGGGAACAGAAAAGAGAGGTCACCACAGAATGTAAAACATTGATGGTTAAAGAAGACAAAAGTTAGCAGTGTTCATCCAGTACGATCCGTGGGAGGAAATGATGAAGTTTTCTGTTGCTGGAGCAATATACAGTTGACCTTGAAAAATGTGGGCTTTAGGGGTGCTGGTTCTCCACACAGTCAGAAATCCACTCACATAACTTCCGTCCATATACGTGGTTCCTCCCCATCCAAGGTTCCGCCTTCTTGGATTCAACCAACCACGAATAGTGTAGTACTATAGTATTTACCATTGAAAAAAAGTCCACATATAAGTGGACCCACACATTTCAAATCCATGTTGTTCAGGCGTCAGCTATACTCTATAAGAGGGCAACTTTATAGGCCTCAGACTTCACCACAGCCTTGATGAAATATACCTCAAAACCCAAAATCTCCATGATTGCTCTGATTCTATGAAGCCCTTTCTGGTTACTAATTTAGCAGAAGGGGAGACCCTGAAAAAGGGATATAAGCCTTCTTCTAGTCATTAGAAAAGACTATCCTGCCTTTGTTTAAATATATCAGTATCATGAAGTCTTACATGAGGTGAATCAACCCTCCCAAATCTGAGCAATTCTGGGTGCAGCCAGACTACGGGCTGTAGAAAATTCACAAAGATTATCCTGTGCTCTTAAGGAGAAACATCAAACCATTTCCTTCATTGCCTGGGTTATCAGCCCTAAACTTTTAAAATGCAGCAGCTGTGAATAACTGGTCTTCACTAAGAGGGCACCTCCTAGAAATATACAGTTTCTCATTAGTGGTGCCTCATTTGAATACAGCATTTAATGGAGTCCTGGAATTCTCAAACAACGCTATGAATATTCCATGCTGAACCAAAGGACTCTTAGAATATAAAGTGATGCCACTTAAGTAATTTGTGGTGTCTTATCTTCAAAGTCGGAGCTACTGTTTGGAGTAGAATGACTGGAAATAAATCCAAGTAATTACTGCTGGCTATAGCAGTGGCTGGAGACAAGGTAAGAGGGAGAAAACAAAGGAAGAGACACTGCCCCTGCCAGCTGACATTAAATTATCCCTGCCTCCCCACATCCTGTCTCATATGACCGAAGCAAAAGCAATGGCATGGCTGTTCCACTCTCTAGCAGGCTCCCATTACACACACAAACACGCCCCCACCTCAGCTGTCCTTTGGCAATTCAGTTCCCGCTCAAGGCTGTGTCCTGGATGCTGTTTTATCTGATTTCACTTGTATAAAAATGTATCACTATGTGATTTTTCCCAGGGCTGACCTTACTTTCACTCATTCATTCATTCATTTATTCATACATTCACTCAATTAATGTATGTTGATACTCATACTGTGCCACAAACTATGCGGAGTGTGGGATTGGTCTTTAAAGGATGAGCGAAGGAGCAGTAAATTCTAGGGAGAGCAATACACTTTTACGTTGAATCATACAAAACTGCTATTTTCATAAGTCTAAAACAGTCAAATATTGGCAATTTCAACCTAATAAATAATACTATCCTTTCTTTTTGGATTATGTACCTTGCCCAAAATGAGATTAAGAGCTATCAACATGGTGACGATAGTTGGCAATACTGTATCGTATATTTGAAAGTTGCTATAACAGATTTTTTTTTTGATGTGGACCATTTTTAAAGTCTTTATTGAATTTGTTACAATATTGCTTCTGTTTTATGTTGTTTTGGTTTTGGCCGTGAGGCATGTGGGATCTTAGTTCCCCGACCAGGGATCGAACCCACACCCCCTGCTTTAGAAGGTGAAGTTTTAACCACTGGACTGCCAGGGAGGTCCCATGACAGTAGATCATAAAAGTTCTCATTACAAGAAAAAAATTCTGTAACTATGTATAGTGATGGATGTTAACTAGACTTATTGTGGTGATCATTTCACAATACATACAGATATCAAATTATTATGTTGTACATCTGAAACTAATATAATAAGTCAATTATATCTCAACTATTTTTTAAAAGAACTGTCAGATAACTACATTCAATTTCAAAGTCTATAAACCCATTTGAGGTTCAGGGTGCTTTCACACAATGAACATTTTGAGACAGCAACAGCAAGATTGGCAAAAACACAACCATGACAATAGTGAGAGTCTACAAAGTGCTGATTACGTTACAAATTACATCTGTCCCTCTTAAAATCTCTGCAGAGTTGGTATTATTACCTCCACTTTACAGGTATGGAAGTTGAAGCTCAGTAATATTATGTAATCAGTCCAAAAATCTTATAGTTTGTAAATGGCTTAGCTGGATTTAAACCTATGATTGTCTTATTCCAAAGCCCAGACTCTTTCCACCAAAATTAAGCAGTAACTATTAGTGATTTACTCTCCCTCAGTCCTCCTGCCACAAAACACCAGTACACACAAGGATTTTCCTCTGAACCTCCTAGGTCTAATTTTCTATAGCCTAGAGTTTCCAGAAAGTTAAATCCATTATGTTCATATATTTTCCCCAGCCCCTGACCACTGTCCTCCATGATTTCCCACTCCAGTCCCAGCATTTTAAAATATTTACTGCCAAAAGATTAGATTCCCTGTAACCATCACAACCAGTCTAAGGAGCAATTCTAAGGTTAATTCTGACCCATAATTTTACTGAAGAAAGCAGAAAAACACCCTTACATAATAGAAGAGACCTAATCTGCAAGTGTTTGGGTTATCAAACTCTGCAGCACTCACCTCCCTGTATCAGATGGTGTCCCACAGATGTCCAGCTGGTTCAAAGGATCTGAATCAAACGTCTCTGTCCCCTACAGCACAGGTGAGAATGGGGAGGGTGGTCTGTAATTTATCCACATAGAGCTATGTGAATATTTCCTCTCTGGTTGTCCAGGGGCTTTTCCTTTGCTTTTAAGCCCAGCCCAAGCCAGGGTGGCATTTAACCCACTTATGCTGGGAAGCAGAGTGCATTATTGTAACTTAAAAAAAATCACTTCTGGGCTTCCCTGGTGGCGCAGTGGTTGAGAGTCCGCCTGCCGATGCAGGGGACGTGGGTTTGTGCTCCGGTCTGGGAGGATCCCACATGCCGCAGAGCAGCTAGGCTTGTGAGCCATGGCCGCTGAGCCTGTGCGTCTGCAGCCTGCGCTCAGCAATGGGAGAGGCTACAACAGTGAGAGGCCCGCGTACCACAAAAAAAAAAAAAAATGCTGGAACCTACCAAAAAAAGATACGCTACATCCAAAGACAAAGAAGAAGCCACAACAAGATAGTAGGAAGGGCACAATTATGATAAAATCAAATCCCATATCCACTGGGTTGGTGACCCACAAACTGGAAAGCAATTACACCACAGAAGTTATCCCACAGGAGTGAAAGTTCTGAGACCCACATCAGGCTTCCCAGCCTGGGGGTCCAGCAATGGGAGGAGGAGTCCCCAGAGAATCTGGCTTTGAAAGCCAGCAGGGTTTGATTGCAGGACTTCCACAGGACTGGGGGAAACAGAAATTCTCTCCTGGAGGGTGCACACAAAGTCTCGTCTGCACCAGGACCCAGGGGGAAAAAGCAGTGACCCCGTAAGAGACTGGGCCAGACGTACCTGACAGTATTGGAGGTTTTCCTGCAGAGGTGAGGGGTGGCTGTGGCTCACTGTGGGGACAAAGACACTGGCAGCAGCAGTTCTGGGAAGTACTCACTGGTGTGAGCCCTCCTGAAGGCCACCATCAGCGCCACCAAACAGCCTGTAGGCTCCAGTGCTGGGTCACCTCAGACCAAACAACCAACAGGGCAGGAACACAACCCCACCCATCAGCAGACAAGCAGATTAAAACTGTACTGAGCACAGCCCTGCCCACCAGAGGGACTAGACCCAGCTCCACCCATCACCAGTCCCGCCCACAGGAAACTTGCACAAGCCTCTTAGACAGCTTTATCCACCAGAGGGCACACAGCAGAAGCAAGAAGAACTACAGTCCTGAAGACTGTGGAATGGAAACCACAATCACAGAAAGTTAGACAAAATGAAACAGCAGAGGAATATGTCCCAGATGAAGGAACAAAATAAAACCCCAGAAAAACAACGAAGTGAAGTGAAGGTAGGCAACCTTCCAGAAAAAGAATTCAAAATAATGAGAGTGAAGATGATCCAGAATCGTGGAAAAAGAATGGAGGCAAGGATCAAGAAGATGCAATAAATGTTTAACAAAGACCTAGAAGAACTAAAGAACAAACAGAGATGAACAAAACAATAACTAAAATGAAAAATACACTAGAAGGAATCAATAGCGGAATGACTGAGGCAGAAGAACAGATAAGTGACCTGAAAAACAGAATAGTGGAAATCACTGCTGCAGAACAGAATAAAGAAAAAAGAATGAAAAGAAATGAAGACAGCTTAAGAGACCTCTGGGACAACATTAAACACATCAACACTTGCATTATAGGGGTCCCAGAAGGAAAATAGAGAGGGGACCTGAGAAAATATTTGAAAAGATAATAGCAGAAAACTTCCCTAACACGGGAAAGGAAACAGTCACTCAAGTCCAGGAAGCACAGAGAGTCCTAGGCAGGATAAACCCAAGGCGGAACAAGAGACATAGTAATCAAATTGACAAAAATTAAAGACAAAGAAAAAATATTAAAAGCAACAAGGGAAAAATGACAAATAATATACAAGGGAACTCCCATAAGGTTATCAGCTGATTTCTCAGCAAAAACTCTACAGGCCAGAAGGGAGTGGCACAACATATTTAAAGTGATGAAAGGGAAGAACCTACAACCAAGAATACTCTACCCAGTAAGGCTCTCATTCAGATTTGACAGAGAAATCAAGAGCTTTACAGACAAGCAAAAGCTAAGAGAATTCAGCACCACCAGACCAGCTTTGAAACAAATGTTAAAGAAACTTCTCTAGGGGAGAAAGAGACTAGCAACTTAAAACAATATTGCACATATAAAGATTGCTGTATCAAAAGCTCGTGGGAACAGCAAAGCCAAAAGCTACAATAGATACACACACAAAAGAGAAAAAGCAACCCAAACAACACTAAAGATGGTCATCAAACCACAAGAGAACAAAAGAAGGGAAGAAAAAGGACCTATGAAAACAAACCCAAAACAATTAAGAAAATGTAAATAGGAACATACATATCGATAATTACCTTAAATATAAATGGATTAAATGCTCCAACAAAAAGACATAGACTGGCTGAATGGATACAAAAACAAGACCCACTGTCTACAAGAGACCCACTTCAGACCTAGGGACACATACAGACTGAAAGTGAAGGGATGGAAAAAGGTGTTCCATGCAAATGGAAATCAAAAGAAAGCTGGAGTAGCAATACTCATAGCAGACAAATTAAGCTTTAAAATAAAGACTGTTATAAGAGACGAAAAAGGACACTACATAATTATCAAGGGATCAATCCAAAAAGAAGACATAACAATTGTAAATGTATATGTACCCAACATAGGAGCACCTCAATATATAAGGCAAATACTAATAGCCATAAAGGGAGAAATCGACAGTAACACAATCATAGTGAGGGACTTTAACCCCCACTTTCATCAATGGACAGATCATCCAGACAGACATTCAGTAATGAAACACAGACCTCAAATGATACATTAGACCAGATGGACTTAACTGATATTTATACAGCATTCCATCCAAAAGCAGCAGAATACACATTCCTCTTGTGTACACGTGGAACATTTTCCAGGATTGACCACATGCTGGGCCACAAAGCGAGCCTTGATAAATTTAAGAAAACTGATATCATATCAAGCATCTTTTCTGACCACAACACTATGAGATTAGAAGTAAACTACAAGAAATAAAAAAAAAGAAGTAAACTACAAGAAAAAAACTGTATAACACAAACATGTGGAAGCTAAACAATATGCTACTAAACAACCAAGGATCACTAAAGAAATCAAAAAGGAAATAAAAAAATACCTAGAGACAAATGAAAACAAAGGCACAATGATCCAAAACCTATGGGATGCAGCAAAACCAGTTCTAAGAGGGAAGTTTGTAGCAATTCAATCTTACCTCAGGAAGCATGAAAAATCTCAAATAAACAACCTAACCTTACACCTAAAGCAACTAGAGAAAGAAGAACAAGCAAAACCAAAAGTTAGTAGAGGGAAAGAAATCACAAAGATCAGAGCAGAAATAAATGAAATAGAGACAAAGAAAACAATAGCAAAGATGAATGAAACTAAAAGCTGGTTCTTTGAAAAGATAAACAAACTTGATAAAACTTTAGCCAGACTCATGAAGAAAAAAAGGGAGAAGACTCAAATCAATAAAATTAGAAATGAAAAAGGTGAAGTTACAATGGACACCAGAGAAATACAAAGGACCATGAGAGACTACTACAAGCAAGTGTATGCCAATAAAATGGACAACCTAGAAGAAATGGACAAATTCTTAGAAAGGTACAATCTCTGAAGAGTGAACCAGGAAGAAATAGAAAATATGAACAGACCAATCACAAGTACTGAAATTGAAACTGATTTTTAAACTCCCAACAAACAAAAGTCCAGGATCAGATGGCTTCACAGGTGAATTCTATCAAACATTTAGGGAAGAGCTAACTATCCTTCTGAAACTGTTCCAAAATAATTGCAGAGGACAGAAAACTCCCAAATTCATTCTATGAGTCCACTATCACCCTGATACCAAAACCAGACAAAGATACCACAAAAAGAAAATTACAGGCCAATATCACTGATGAACATAGATGCAAAAATCCTCAACAAAATACTAGCAAACAGAATCCAAAAACACATTAAAAGGATCATACGCCGTGATCAAGTGGGATTTATCCCAGGGATGCAAGGATTTTTCAATATCCGCAAATCAATCAGTGAGATACACCACAACAACAAATTGAGGAATACATACCATATGATCATCTAATGGATGCAGAAAAAGCTTTTGACAAAATTCAACACCCATTTATGATAAAAACTCTCCAGAAAGTGAGCATAGAGGGAATATACCTCAACATAATAAAGGCCATATATGACAAACCTACAGCTAACATCATACTCAATGGTGAAAAGCTGAAAGTATTTCCTCTAAGATCAGGAACAAGACAAGGATACCCACTCTCACCACTTTTATTCAACATAGTTTTGGAAGTCCTAGCTACAGCAATCAGAGAAGAAAAATAAATAAAAGGAATACAAATTGGGAAAGAAGAAGTTAAACCATCACTGTTTGCAGAAGACATGATACTATATATAGAAAACCCTAAAGACACTACCAGAAAACTACTAGAGCTCATCAATGAATTTGGTAAAGTTGCAGGTTACAAAATTAATACACAGAAATCTCTTGCATTTCTATACACTAACAATGAAAGATCAGAAAGAGAAATTAAAGAAACAATCCCATTTACCATCACATCAAAAAGAATAAAATACCTAGGAATAAACCTACCTAAGGAGACAAAAGACCTGTACTCTGAAAAGTCCAAGATACTGATGAAAGAAATTGAAGATGACACAAACAAATGGAAAGATATACCATGTTCTTGGATTGGCAGAATCAATGACTATACTACCCAAGGCAATCTACAGATTCAATGCAATCCCTATCAAATTACCAATGGCATTTTCCATGGAACTAGAACCAAAAAAATCATAAAATCTGTATGTAGACACAAAAGACCCTGAACACCCAAAGCAACCTAGAGGAAAAGAAAAAAACAAAAATGCAGCAGGAGGAATCAGGATGCCTGGCTTCAGACTATATTACAAAGCTATAGTCAACAAAACAGTATGCTACTGGCACAAAAATAGAAATATAGATCAGTGGAACAGGATACAAAGCCCAGAAATAAACCCATGAATCTATGGTCAATTAATCTACAACAATGGAGGCAAGACTGTACAATGGAGGAAAGACAGCCTCTTCAATAAATGGTGCTGGGAAAACTTGACCGCTACATGTAGAAAAATGAAATTAGAACATTCTTTAACACCATACACAGAAATAAATTCAAAATGGATTAAAGACCTAAATTTGAGACTGGACACTATAAAACTCTTACAGTAAAACAAGCAGAACACTCTCTGACATAAATCACAGCAATATCTTTTTCAATCTGTCTCCCAGAGTAATGGAAATAAAAACAAAAATAAACAAATGGGACCTAATTAAACTCAAAAGCTTTTGCACAGCAAAGAAAACCATAAACAAAACGAAAAGAGAATCCACAGAATGGGAGAAAATACTTGCAAATGATGTGAACGACAAGGGATTAGTCTCTAAAATTTACACACAGCTCATGCGCCTTAATATCATCAAAACAAACAACCCAATCAAAACATGACAGAAGACCTAAATAGACATTTCTCCAAAGAAAACATACAGATGGCCAAGAGGCACATGAAAAGATGTTCAACATCACCAATTATTAGAGAAATGCTAATCAAAACTACTATGAGATATTACCTCACACCAGTCAGCATGGCTACCATCAAAAAATCCACAAGCAATAAATCCTGGAGAGGGTGTGGAGAGAAGGGAACCCTCCTACACTGTTAGTGGGAATGTAAATTGGTATTGCCACTGTGGAGAACAGCATGGAGGTTCCTTAAAAACTTAAAATAGAGCTATCATATGATCCAGCAATCCCACTCTTGGACATATATTTGGAGAAAAACACAGTCTGAAAGAATACATGCACCTCCATGTTCACTGCAGCACTGTTTACAATACCCAAAACATGGAAGTAACCT